TTATGTGTCTAATTATCAAAACAGGCTTTTGTTTCTAGCAGTATCTGAGCTCAGGAGCAGCTTTCTCTCTAACCTATTTGTAACAAACAAAGATATTTCTCTGAGTTGACAACAAACCACTTTAGTAAGTCGCTCTGGATACGAGCCTCTGTTAAATGCTGTACATGTAAAAGTACATTATGTATTATTGTTACATCCACTAGAGTAAGTTAGCTTAGTCAGCAAAAATCACTGCCTTTTCAGTCACATCCTTGGCAATGTGACCATGGCAACGTTTGCACGTTCAGCCACTCATGTTTCGGAGTAGAAAAGTGTAAAACAATATACATACATATTCTCAAAACTGTCACATTTTACAGCACTGTCAAAATACAGAAATGCTGTTTTATTGAATTCTTAGCCTCTTGGCCGTCTGCCCAATGCAGTGAAGACGAAGATGTCTGCCCAATGCAGTGAAGACCTTAAACAGTTAACTGAGCACCTTCCCTACTGCCTACAGAACTGTGCTGCATCATGAATCAAAAGCAAGGAGTTTATCACAGTTTCCGCTCTTGTACATTGTTGCTACACTGTAACTGAGAATTATGTTGACCTTTTCTCTGATTAGAAGAGTGGAAGTGCCATGTAGTTTAACTAATGCTGCCTACCTGCTTCTCCATGCTGAAAGATTCATGAATCATGCTGATAAAAACATTTACATTTCAAATGTTGAAATAGAGCAGTATTGCATTCCTTAGGCCTTTGTTATGCGGACAGACTGATGCAAGGAATACACTGATATTAGCGTCCAGGGGTGGGCAGAATATTTTGACTGAATACTGAATACATTGTCCTAAATGTATTCAGTAATGCATTCCCATTACAATACATTAAGAAGTAATGTATTCAGAATACATTTAGAATAGACTTACTGGTTGGCAGTTTTCTTCCCAATAATTCTTCTCTTAATAATCTTGAATTTAAGTGAAGTTCTCTTTCATTGTTTTCTGCAGTTCACTGCTGCTTCCGTAAACCCCTGAGCAGTTTGATCATTCCTCAAAAGAGCGTATTAACTGAGATTAATAACTGATCACATTGATTTATCGGTCTACTCAGGCTTTAGCAGAGCTCAGTAACACTGAGATTAATAACTGATCATCACATTGATTTATCAGTCTACTCAGGCTTTAGCAGAGCTCAGTAACACAGATTAATAACTGATCATCACATTGATTTATCAGTCTACTCAGGCTTTAGAAGAGCTCAGTAACGCTGAGATTAATAACTGATCATCACATTGATTTATCAGTCTACTCAGGCTTTAGCAGAGCTCAGTAACACTGAGATTAATAACCGATCACATTGATTTATCAGTCTACTCAGGGCTTTAGCAGAGCTCAGTGACACTGAGATTAATAACTGATCACATTGATTTATCAGTCTACTCAGGCTTTAGCAGAGAATGTGCTGTAGATGGTTCTGTATAGAACCTTTTGATAAAGCACCAAAAACAGTGCTGCTAATATTTCGATGTCAAGCATGTAACAATAGAAGAACCCCTCTTGGTGCTATATAGAACCTGTCTACAGAACATTCTCCATCAATCTGAAGAACGCTTTCATGATGCAATGAAGCTTTTAATTATGCAAAGGCTTCTTTAAGTGTTCATGGTTCCATATAGAGCCATTTTCTTTGCTGAAGAACCCTTGAAGAACCATCTTTTTTAAGTGTGTACAGTACGAAGTGATGCATGAAAACCCTCCTATTAATAGACGTAGCTTTTTATACCAGGCGCATATAGCATGCTGCTACAGGAGCATGAACAAAACAGTGGGTTTAGAGCATGATGATTGTTTGGTGGGGCATTGCCTCTTTAAATGACCACTTTTTTTCTACAGATGTTCATATTATCATATAATATTCTGTATATGCTAGTTATTATATTGTATTCTATTGTATTATGCGACCCAGAAGGATAAGCTTAGAGAATGTGAGTGTATTATATTATATTATATTATCATATTATATCATAGTGTATGTCTCCTCAGACCAGCATTTGCATAGACATTCACATCTGTATATGTACAGATATTTGCGCATCTCTTTAAGCTTCTATCTTTATTCTATTTATTCTATTTTTATGTCATTTGTCTCTTAACTAAATAGTTGTTAACAGTCTGCCTGTCTGGTTTGTTTGCTGTGTGATATGTCATACGTGTGTGCACTCGCAAGTTATTTGGCAGAATAAAGTGATTCTTATTCTGATTCTGATACAGGGCCTGTTTTAAAGCCCTGCTAATAGGGATTACGATGAAAGTTCAACTATAGAGATGTTATTAAATACTATAATATAAATTCATGTCAAAACAATATAGTTAGTGACTGTTCATTGTATTGCCCTGCGATGGACTGACGACCTGTCCAGGGTGTATCCTGCCTTCCGCCCAATGACAGCTGGGATAGGCTCCAGCACCCCACCGTGACCCAGAAAGATAAGTGGTTTAGATGATGTATGTATGTATGTATGTTCATTGTATGTTAGTCCTGTGTGTTTACATGCTGTGCCTGCTATTTCTGTTCCTGCTATACATGGATTTCATCGTTCACCTCCTTGCAGTTCTGCCCACAACTAACTGCTGTCTAACTGCTGATGGAAATGACCTCTTAGCCACAGGGGCGGCCTCTGCCAGTCTTAATCTTTGTAATGATTCAAGTCTAATAAATCATTCATCGATCTGCATCCATGGCTGTGAGGCTCCCTTGTTTTAACTGGTTTCCTATAGGAGTTTAGGTAAGAAGTCTAAGGATAAGTGGTTGGTATAGTGTAGTGGGTAGCACCTCTGCCTCCTACGCTGTAGACTGGGGTTCAATCCTGGCCTTGGGCAAGACTCATAACACTACCTTTGCCTAAGTGATCAAATTTTAAGTCGATCTGGATAAGAGCGTCTGCCCAATGCTGTAAATGTAAACGACAGAATTAAATTAGGTTATATTATATTAGTTCCTGACCAGGTTTCAGCTTCACAAAACAAATGCATGCAAACAAATGTGAACGGATCAGATGCTTAAGCTATGATCTTTGACATGATTGACACTATGAATGTCACAATGAAAGAAACTGACCTGAAAAAAAACAGAGAGGTCCCCCTCTGTCACACTGCTTGGTCAGAAGCTCAGCCCTGATTAGCCTAAGATCTGTTTACAATCTGCAAACCCAAACTTAACCTGCACTGGAGCAGGTTAGACATGCAGCACTGGTTGCCATGGTGATGTAGTCCAGTAAAATATGATCGAAACTTTGTGAGACCCAGAATTAGACTGAACTTTGAGCTTCTTCCATCTTCCACCTTTACTTACAGTAAAGGAACTGTACATTTAATGCACAGTATATATTTTATGCATGGAAGGCATTAACTTTGTTTGCGAATGCTCTGTTGGTAAACCAATTTATAAACATCTTTGGGTCAGTTTTCCAGAAGGAGGTTAAGTCTAATAAATGAAACTACCGATAGTATGTCTAACCCACCCAGAAAGCTTTCTAATCTATCACTATATTCTAATATAGTGTAAGGTAATATATCGCCGCTGTCGGGACAAAACCTTGTGTCCCCAAAACGGTAACTTTACAGGAGAAGGGAAAAACATATTTTACTTTTAATATAAGTCAATGGAACCAGACTTTTTTCCAAGTCATTTTGGGCCGGTTCATTTTTAAATTATGTCAAAAAATTAAAAACGACAAAAACTGAGATAGAAGATTTTGTTCCAACAGCAACGATATATTATTACTGGGGGGTTGTTGAGAAAGCAGTATATTTGGCTTTGAGAGGATTAAACTGTATTAAACTGTCACTAGAGTGGTACCTCGCTTGTCTCTGGGTAGTTTGGGAACATAATTGTACCATATTCCATTGAAAATATATTTTACTTAAGTTGTATTGACTCCATGCATCATATCCTGACTCATTGCTTTCTAGTGTACTGTTCTGTTTTAAAATATTTGGTCATGAAAGGTATAAATATGCACCTTTTCCCTGGGACAAACCTGCCCAGGTACCAAGTTGGACCTTAGGACCACTGTTGGGGTAAAAAGTCCCAGATACGGACCAAAAGGCCTCTTAAAAGGCACATTAGGCAATTAATTTCTTTTATATCTAGTTTAAATATCCTGGAATAATAAAAATATGATGGTTTTAGCATTGGTATCAGCCCAAGTATATTTACCTGATACACCCTATTTGGAAAACTGCAGAGGGCTTGTCTGTTTATACTGACTGACTCATGTCAGTCATTTTATAAGACCCTCCCTTATACCACATAACTCCACCCCATCTTCATCTCTTTTTAGCTGTAAAATGTTCACTCAGTGTGTTTTATTGAGATGAAGAGTAGATTGAGTGTTTTGCACTCAGTTTTGACTTTAATGTTGCCTCAGAAATATTATTTACTAGCTAGCTATAGTGATAGAATTAGCTAACATTTTTAGCCCTCTTGCTGCTGCTTCATTGTTGTAGTTTAAATAATAATGCATTTATTAATCAAAAATGCAAAGACTAGAAATTATTTGACATATAAATGATACATTCTGTAACACATAGATGACACATTGATGCAAGATTCGCCAGGGGGCGCTTCTTACCCCAGGTAATGGGGCTTCTTTCCCTGATAGTAGAACTTTTAAAGATTTTCTTTTTTTTTGTGCTATAAAAACAGAACAGTGTGCAGAAAAACAGATACGATTTGGCTTTGTATTAAATGGACACTCTTCTTTTTCCCCATATTAATTCTTCCAAAGTCCATTTCAGGACTCCACTTCCACTTCATTAGGTGTACCACAATTACAATAAGATTGAACAAAGGAAATGTCTAAATGTCAAAAATAATAAAGATGTCTGGTGGTACTGACCAAACTATCAGTCAGCATAATAATTGTACAGTAATCATGAGCACAAGTCATTGGCTGTCAGTCACTGTAATGATGATTGAAATGTAATGATAATCTACTGGTGGAAGTGGCTCACCTGCTGTTCCTGAAGGAGAATATTTGTGGGAATAGCAGCCAGTGCCTTGTAGGTGGACTTGATCTTGTATGGCTATTAGAAGAAATGGTTGAAATTAATGTATTTTAGAAAAGAGTAAAAACTTCAAAAGCTCTGCATCTGCACCATATCTGTTTTAGCTCCCATGCCACTGAAAGCGTGATGATCTGCACACCAAACATGCACTTCAAAAAGGATATAGTGCATAACCCTGCCTGCCTGTTAGTAAGCTGGTGAGGATCATGTTTCCCAGCGATGTGTGCGGCCTTGGTCAAGAAACATGTCTAGTCGTAAAACGAATGCCTCTCTGCTCCCGTGGCCGTTAAGGCATGCAGGTAGCGTGCAGCAATGACACTCGAGAGCATGCATGGTACCTTTCTGCTTTTGCCGCCCCTGTCTGTACTGTCTGGTGTACCGTCACGTAGGGATGGGGAGGGTGAGGAACAGAGTGAGTAAGAGGGAGATGGAGAGAGCTGGCGGCTGGGGATCACTGGAGAGGGAGATAGGGTGTAGTGGTCTGGTGTTGGGGAGCGCAAGCTTGGTCTGGGAGAGGCGTCGGAGATATCAGGCGTGCAGGCCAGGCGCGTGAGGCCCACTGGCCCGGGAGAAGGAGACAGTTTGAGGGCTGGGGATGCTGAGAGGACTCGTTCTAGATCAAGGATTGCTTTTTTGCCGTTTTGCAAGTAGGAACGTGGGTTGTCTTCTGCTTGCTTCAGAATTGCAGAGGCTAAGATGTCTTTGGACTGTTGAGCAGGTTTGAGGTCAGGGATGGGAGAGGGATCGCGTGGCATGGACTGTTGTCCAGATATGAAGTCAGGGATGGGAGAGGGATCATGTGGCATGGACTGTTGTGCAGATTTGAGATCAGGGATGGGAGAGGGATCATGTGGCATCCATCTGGGCTTGAAATCTGAGGACAGTTCTGCTTTCTTCAGAACGGGAGAGGGTTCCTTTGATTTCTGTCCATGTCCTCGACTGGGGGGATCTAAAATGTTATATGACCCTTTTAAATGCTCTGCAGCTGGGGCTGCGGGGTGAGCACATGACTCTGATGAGGGTGTCTGACTCTCTGATCTGCAGCAGGACAGATGGCTTGATTTAGGAGACAGGGACCTTGATGAGGAGAAAGATGAAAAGAGCAAAGAGCTAGGGACTCTGGGCGCAAGAATCTCTTTAGAGACTGGCTTTGACAGGTGTCCCGGAGCATGTTCAGAAGGAGAGGAACTTGGCAAGGTCATTGAGCTGCTATCCTCGGGTGATGGAGTAACTCTACTGAGTGCAGAACTTCTTGAGTCCGGTGCTGAAGAGATGCTCACCTTGTTATGTTTCTTGAATGACATGGAAGGAGTGTTATAGATTATCCTTGGGGACTTTGGTCTTGCATTATGACTGGGCTCTGTACAAGCCATGCCTTTTGAAGCACAGTCCTTTGTAGACTCCATGGGGGCTATGGTAGAGGCTGCCGAACAGGCCTTGCAGGAGGACATGCTGGTGGGACTAATGGGCCAGCAAGGAGAGTAGGGTCTCTGTAAGGCAGGGGAAAGGATTGGAAGCCGACCCTTCCTCAGGATGGCCGTTAGCAAGGACAAATGGGTGGGTGGGGGCCTGTGGCGGACACGGGAAGACAGTGGACATGGTGAGGGGGCTTGCCTGTCACAACAGACTGTCTGCCCAGAGGAGCCCGGCATCTGTGCCAGGCTGGAACCCGGGGCAAGCGTGTGGCGCTTGATTCTCAGCACGGATGGAGTGAAGGCTCCTGATCTTACAGAGGAGCATGGTGAGACAGTCCCACTGAAGGGGACAGGGGAATCATAGGGAGATAACATTTGGAGGGCGGACCAGCTCCTGTCCTGATCCCAGCCCTCAGAGAGGATGGACTCCTTAGACGAGGCAATAGATGGGAAAAGGTCTACAGAGCTGGCTTGGCTCAGGACCTCCTCCTCTCTCTGGGGCTCACTGTTTAAAAACTGGCCGGAGCTGACCTCGGCACCCTCAAAAGTGTTGTGACAGCCTAGCCGAGAGATGTCGGACTGTTTGTTATCAGTTGGCTCCACAGCGATAAGCCTTGGGCTTGGGCACCTTATTTCAACCTGAGCCATGGCAGGGATAGGGGATGGGGTAAGAGCTGAATTATCAGTAGATTTGAGCTGAGAAGAAAAGACACAGGTGAAAAAGATGAAAAACGTTTCCTGCATTAGAATACATATTACAATATAAAAGTCCTTTGATGACGACTGCATGTGATATCAAGACATCAAACCATAAAGGGTTTGTTTAAAATGTATTGTCTCTGCTACTTTTCAGTTCACTATGCCAATTATTACCATGGGACACCATCTATCCTTTCTCTCTTTGTTATCCATTTCGAGGCTATTCTCATTCTCTTCATCATCATAAAGATATTTTTCAAAAATGTGTATATATAAGGAGACAACAGATACATCTCTAAGAAACAGGCAAAACTGTGGTGTCATCCTACATAAGAAATTTGTAAAAACCTCACTTTCCTTCTTCTGCAATAATTAGCTGATTGCCAAAAGCAGAAGTTCTGACTCTGAAACTCATTTGTCCTTCATAATTTGAGTAATCGGCATCTTTCCATTTCAGACTTCTCAGCAAATGCCATTTGGGGACAAGCAATGTCTGGGGTTTGTGCATCCCCTAAGGGTACAAAAACAAAGCGAAATCCAGACTGACCTGAATTTGAGGGTCCTTGCTCGTCTCTTGGGGCTCTGTGTCTTCCGAGTCTGTAACATATACAATCTCGGCCTTGTAAACAGCTTGGTCTGTCATGCTCCCTTCAGATGCCTCAGCGTCTCCTGAAGCCTGTCATGGGGACAGGAAACGTTTCTAAGCAACGTAGAATCTGACACGTCAGCCATTCCAGAGTGGACCTCAGTCACGAATGGCTATTTTCAGCACCTCAGCATCGCGAGGAGGGGAGTGCATGCGTGCCTCCCCCCCGCCTACACAACTTTTTTTTACCAGGAGGCCTGTCCCTCATGTACTGCTCACATGCAAGCGCACATGACACCCTGGATTGTGTAAGAGCTGGATGCTTTTTGCGTGTGAACGGTGCAGACTTAAGCCCCCTGCCCTGCCCTGGGACTTTATTCTCTATCACAATAAACAGCACTTAGGCTGATAAAGATAGAACTTCTAACAGGAAGCAATTTAGACAGTTACAACTTAAGCCTAAACTGTATTTTGTCTTATTCGAAATGTACTTGCACCATTATATTTTGGTATCAACAAGTGAAGAACAAGTTTTCTTCAAAAGTTACAATAACTTTTAATAAATTGTGATGAATATCTCAAGTACAAATGTGATATGGATTGAAAGTTTACAATATGAACTTTCTGTGTTTCAGAAGTTAAAGTCCCAGGAAACACAGTGTAAAATACTAAAAATCATGGTATGCTATTAAGACACATCGAAAGAAATACAGAAATATAATAAAGCATAGCTTAGAAATTGTTTATCAGACCTATCGGAGAACTGTCTGCACATGGCCTAATATTCTAATAAGCGCCCCTGATTGACACCCCATAATCCAACACTTCCAGCCTGCTACACACTTAAAAATGATGGTTCTTCAAGGGTTCTTTGGTAAAGAAAATGGTTCTATATAGCACCATGAACACCCAAAGAACTCTTTACATGATTAAAGTGTTCTTTGCATCATGAAAGGGTTCTTCAGATTGATGGAAAATGTGTGGAACGTGGTTCTACATAGCACCAAAAAGGGTTCTTCTATCGTTACAATGTCAAGCTTGTAATAATAGAAGATCCCTTTTTGGTGTTATGTGGAGCCCTTTTCAAAAAGGTTCTATATAGAACCATGTTCAACATATTCTCCATCAATCTGAAGAACCCTTACATGATGCAAAGAACCCTTTAATCATGCAAAGAGTGTTCATGGTTCATGGTTCTATATAGAACTTGCATGATTAAAGTTCTACATAGAACCATGAACAGTCACAGAACACTTTACATGATTAAAGGGTTCTTTGCATTGTGAAAGGGTTCTTCCTTTTTGAAAAGGGTTCTATATAACACTAAAAAGGGTTCTTCTATTGTTGTGATGTCAAGCTTGTAAACTTTTTTGGTGTTAAATAGAACCCTTTTTGAAAAATCTATATAGAATATTTTTTATTAAAGAACCCTTGAAGAACCATTATTTTTAAGTGTGTACTGAAGCACTGAAATGGGCTCTACATTTACAAGTGGTGTTGCAGACCACAGTGTGTCCTTTCATAAGGCAACATCTATAAGGTATGAATAACGTTCTTATTCACTTTGCGGCTGGATGTGCATCCAGGGGAAGCTGGAGTGGCCAGCAGAAAACAAGAACACTGAAATGGATGGACAGGTGAGCTAGCTTGATAGCTCAGTTATGCTGTCTAGGTCAGTGTTGGCTTGGTTGTTAGCTTTCTCTCAGTAAGTTTCTCTGACTTGACCTGAGGGGAGTTCAGTTTTATTAAAGCTGGGTGGGCAGGAGGAGCCACACCAGCCTTGTGATTGGTGAAGACACTGCTTGTATACCTATAAACTAAGATTAGGACCAGTTTACATGAAAAGAGGATCATTTTGGTAAAATTCATCAGCCATTTAGTCGTTGGAATGTTGAAAAGTTACTCACAACATACTTGACACATGTAAATTGTGTGCCCACAAGAGCAAGATTAACCTACATAGACCAAAAATAAAGATTTCGTAGTAACACTTTATTTGGAGTGGTCCTTTGTAGATGATTAATAAACTCTTAGTAGATTATCAGTAACACATCAACAACATATCAGTGAAGTAGCTGTAGTGAAGCATCTGAATACACTGAAGTAAATATCTTGTAGATGTTCTGTTGATACATTACTTACATTAAATAGATGTGTTGTTAATATGTTACTTCCATTACACAAACCTAACCTTACCAACCTTACACAACACCTAACCCTAACCCTGGCCTTAATCCTAATCCTAACCTTAACCTCAACCCAACACCTAACCCTAACCCTAACCCTGGCCCTAATCCTAACCTTAACCTCAACCCAACACCTAACCCTAACCCTCACCCTCACCCTGGCCCTAATTCTCACCCTGACCTTAACCTCAACCCAAAACCTAATCCTAACCCTAACCCTGGGCCTAATCCTAACCTTAACCTCAACCCAACACCTAACCCTAACCCTCACCCTGGCCCTAATTCTCACCCTGACCTTAACCTCAACCCAAAACCTAATCCTAACCCTCACCCTGGCCCTAATCCTAACCCTAACCTCAACCCAAAACCTAATCCTAATCCTCACCCTGGCCTTAATCCTAACCCTAACCGTAACTTTAACCCAAAACCTAATCCTAACCCTCACCTTCAGCCTAATCCTAACCCTAACCGTAACCTAAACCCAAAACCTAATCCTCACCCTGGCCTTAATCCTAACCCTAACCGTAACCTTAACGCAAAACCTAATCCTAACCCTCGCCCTCGGCCTAATCCTAACCCTATCCTTAACCTCAACCCAAAACCTAATCCTAACCCTCATATGTTTTTAACATGTTACTGAGAGTCTGTTGATTGGTTGTTTCATTTAAAAAGGACTCATCCTTAAAGTGTCACGAGTTTAGCTCCCCTTGGGGCTTTAAGAGTGAAAAATAATTGATTTGAAATGACAGCATGTGACTTCTAAAGGTTAAAGAGCATCAAAGTCACTGACCAACTGCAGTACTTCAGTGTGCAAAGCATGATATTTGTGAGGGGAAAAAAATAAATACATGACAACGAAAAAATCTGCTTCAGAATGGTGGTGAGTAAAGCTTAATCACAAAGCTTGGTTATGCTACATAAGTGCCCCTTACCTGTGGTCTAACTGACCCCTTTTCCCACGCTGATATTACCCTTCTCTCCGCAGGCAGCTTTTTCAGAATGGGCAGGAAGGTGAATGACTTCAGTTTGGTTGCAAAAACAGTGGAGACCTGAGCATAAAAACATGTTAGAACATTATCATGGCAAATTTTTCAAAGCAGATTAGTGCAGAGAAAAATAACACCTTTTCAACGGCCTCTAAATTAGATGCAAACGCTGTCAAATGAATCACCCCAGAGCACAGGAAATGTGTTTTCCTCAATGAAATTCAAGCATGTAAAAACAAAGGACACTAGATGTGCTGTTGCACTGGAATTGAGAAAGATAACGGTTCTCCCTGAACACTTTCCCATTAAGAGTCTCTAAATGAAAAGATTCAGTAACCTCAATTTCTACTAGTGTAGCCTTCCACACTTCCACACTCGCTGACATACTAATCAAAGAGTTGTGATTATGAGGTGATGCCACAGCCATACTTCACTACACATGATTTCAGAGTGAGAAGTGGATCCTAGCATGGCTCAATATTTAAGAATTAGATGATGGAACATATCGCTGCTGTCAGAACAAAACCTCATATCTCCATTTTTCAGTTTTTGACATAGTTTGAGAATGCCTGCTTTCCTTTACACTGTCTGTAAAAAAGGGATTTGTGAGTGTGAAGAACTGGTAACACTTTACTGCTGTTCATAAGGCTACATGACACATACATATCACTGCTGTCAGTACAAAACCTCATATCTCCAGTTTTTTAGTTTTTTACATAATTTGACATAAATTGTTGCCCTTTATATTGTGTGTAAATTTCATGATGAATGGACCAAAAGAAACAGCCCAAAATTATTTGGAAAGACGTCTGGTTCCATTGACTTACATTAAAAGTAAGGCATGTTTTTTCCTTCTCCTGTAAAGTTACCATTTTGGAGATACGAGATTTTGTTCTGACAACAACAATATCATATCTCATTTACAAAATCTGTTCTTTAAAGAACCATCAATAAAAAGGTTGGAGCCACATGTGGTTCTCCTATGGCACTAAAATATCTACAACTATATACTGTTAGAAATAAAGGTTCTGTTCAGGTACATTTTTCATTCATCAAGGTACAAACAGTGTTAATGTGCCCTCAAAGGTACAACAGTGGTTTTAAGGTCTGATTGTGAACGTTAAATAAGTTTCTCCAGGTGAAAAGTTCGTATTTGTACCTTTTCATAACCGAATGTTTTAAAACAGAACAGTAAAATAAAGGCCTGGAGACGAGACGGGAGTCAGTACAGCTTAGAACATATCATTTCAGTGGATTATGGTTCAGTTATGTTCCCTGACTAAAGGTACTGAGATGGACCCTTGAAGGAACCACCCCAGTGAGAGTTTAGTACCTTCATTTCTGAGAGTTTATCTAAAACTGTATCTAAAAAGGTTCTTTAGCTTATAACAATAACCGAATCTTTTTTGGTGTTATGGTTGGTGTTGTAGTTTAATGTTCTTTGAAGAACCATAATGGCAGGTTTTCCATCATAGAGAAGAAACGTTTAACCATGCAAAGGACTTTTTATTCTTTCAAACGATTCCTCATTCTCACACATTTACAAAATCAGTTCTTTAAAGAACCATTAATGAATTGTTTGCAGCCAAATGTGGTTCTCCTATGGCACTGATACAAAGAACTCTTTTTGGCACCTGTAGTTTTAAGACAGTGCCAAAAAGATGCCTATAGTCTTAGCAAAAGGGTCCTACATAGAACCAACTCTTTTAGAAATAAAGGTTCTGTGCTGGTATGTTTTTCATTCATAAAGGTACAAACAGTGTAAATGTTCCCTCAAAGCTCCAACAGTGGTTTTAAGGTCTGATTGTGAACCTTAAATAAGTTTCTCCAGGTGAAAAGTTCGTATTTGTACCTTTTCATAACCGAATGTTTTAAAACAGAACAGTAAAATAAAGCCTGGAGACGAGACGGGGTGTGTGGAGTCAGTACAGCTTAGAACATATCATTTCAGTGGATTATGGTTCAGTTATGTTCCCTGACTAAAGGTACTGAGATGTACCCTTGAGGGTCCCACCCCAGTGACAAAAGGGGAACTGCCCCAGTGACAGTTTAGGACCTTTTTTCTGAGAGTGTACACATAAAAAGGGTCTTTGGCTTGTAGCAACCTTTTTTCCATCTATTTAAAACTATCTTTAAAGAACCATATTTTCCATCTCAGAGTAGAACCATTAAACCATGGAAAGAGGAATAAATGTGTTCCAATGGTTATATAGTTAATAACCACTGCCTTTACTAACGAACCATTGACGTTCCCCCTTTTAAGGCTGTGGTGAAACATAACACCAGACTCAAACTTCAAGCTTGTTTTCTTGTCAAATACAGTCAATATCATAAGTTCTCTTCCAGAAAGTGTATGAAAAATAGCAAAGCTTCCCAAACCACAGCAGTTCCCTGCACTTTAAGTTGCTTTTTTATAAATACAGCTCCATCTCATCTCCTACAAGCCAGCCAATATCACCATTAGAATTTCAAGTTTCGCTTCAATAACCAACACCACAGAAACGCATACAGCAGCAAAATATGAGTTCACAGATAAATAATCAGACTGATACAGTAGTAAGGTCCCAGACAGTTTTTACCTGACTTCAGCACTGTTGTTCACGGCACCGTGACACGAATCACTCAAGCGAATATAGAATAGTTTACCTCGATTTATCTGTAAGCTCTTGTGCTTTAGGCTTGAGTGGAATGCAGGCAAAACAGAGACTCCATTCAATATGTATGAACGTGGGAAGCAAAGGCCCTGCCCAGTCCCGGGTCGCATCTACAAAAATGAGGCTGATTGTTGTTGGTCTGGCCTTGAGAAACAAGCATTTTTATGGTTATGTGAGCTTCTGCTGTTTATGGAAATGCAAACTCTTGTACATCTAAATGACCACTGTAATCAGAAAAGTCTGAAAGACTTATTTTATAACAATTCTCTTTAACCCTTTTTCACAGTAGCCATAAAATGCCATTTCCACCTGTTTGGAGGTGACTTAGTGCATTTTTTCTTCAGTATTGTTGGAATATATTCGGATAGAAATGTTTTTTTTATAATTAGATAGAAAGGATTTGATGCACAACATGGGTCAAAAGTGACCCCTGTGACTGGGGTGTTATTTTCTATATCTTTGCAATAAATTCATTTCATCATTCAGGATTCCATGAGTTATATACATGCATTAAAGGGTTAAATGCTGTTTATTCATTGTGTCAGTTGTGCAGGATTGTTTGATAAAGACCATCCCTCATTGCTCACTAGCAGCTCAACACAGTCACATTTCACATACAGAGAGAGAGAAAAGAGCCCCAGTTCATCTGATAACAGATTTATGGAGAAACATGTTTTATTTTATTATATTCATTTAAAATATCTGAGTTGATTTCCCCCAGAGGGTCATCAGTCAGAGATTAAACTGGACACAATCTTAACACCTTAAGACATCCATCCATCCACTCATCCATCATCTAAACCGCTTATCCTTCTGGGTCGCGGTGGGGTGCTGGAGCCTATCCCAGCTGTCATTGGGCGGGAGGCAGGATACACCCTGGACAGGTCGCCAGTCCATCACAGGGCAGACAGACAGACATACACAGTCACTCACACACTCACACCTAGGGGCAATGTAGCACGTCCAAATGGCCTGACTGCATGTTTTTGGACTGTGGGAGGAAACCAGAGTACCCGGAGGAAACCCACGCAGACACGGGGAGAACAGGCAAACTCCACACAGAAATGACCCTGGTCAACCTTAAGACATGATTCATTTCATTCATTTTGATTTTGCATGTTATCCACAGCACTTTCCAAGACTCGTCTCTTCTCTGCTGCCCCTTCATCCAGTCTAACTTAAATTATCTTGTTAGTTGACGTTACCTGTACCTGTAAATGTCAGCAAATGCTGTCAGACTGTTATCTTCATGTACAGTACTGTGCAAAAGTCAGGGACCACTATTCATTTATCTACTTCCAGACAGAACAGCCATTAAGCACAACATTACACAGAAGCCTCAACAACTAAATCTAATATCAGATGTTTGAGTGTTAAGCGTGCCCACTCATTTCCTTTATCACAGCTTCTGTTCTTTTCAGGAGACTCACTTTCAGTTCCACACTCAGACCATCCATATAATCACAGTTACAATTTAACCAGTCTATTAACCTTCCTCCACATCTCAGGTGTTCCATTTAAATGTTATAGTGCAAATGTCCTTCTAGTCTATCTCCTTTTCTCAGTGAGGTTCTTCTTGATCAGCTACACATCCTTTCAGACCCACAGCGCTGAGTCGTCTTCTCACAGTGGAAGGATGGACAGAAACACCTGTGGATGTTTTCAGATCTGAAGCAGCTTGATTTTCTCCTCTCTCTCAAAGATGAAAGTTTTAAGTGCTGTTTATCTGATGGGGGCAGTTTTGGGGTCTACCAGCTCTTCCAGGTGGTTATTAGGAGCCCCATTTTTTCTGGGGCTTTCTGAATTCCAGTTTTTGAAACCCCTGTTTTTGTTTTTTTCACTTACCCAAATGGGTTATCTTATAACTAATCACCTCAGAACTAATTCATGAAAAACAAATAACTTGTACTTAAAGGCCATTTCAGCTGGAAATTAAATAAACGAAGGGTGATCTCTGACTTTTGCACAGTACTGTAAAACCATCACCTTTCCTTTATGATTGATAGGAGTCTTAAACACTCAAATTATTTATCAATGCTAGTGTTTCCCCATTAAGGAGAGCTGTAAAGTCAGTGTGAATCGGAAATCACAACTCTTTCTCTTCTAAATAAGAAAGTGAAGCGTGGTCTCTGACTTTTACACATGTACGTTTTGTTGATTTTATCAATTTGATGAATTTAATACTTATGTGTAGCAGTTTTTACTGGAAATTAAACCAGTGAAAGTGGTCTATGACTTTTGCACAGTACTGTATATACTAAGGGTGGGAATCTCTAGGCACCTCACGATTCGATTACGATTCAGAGGGCTGCGATGTGGTTATAAAACGATTATCAATGCATCTCGATGCATATTTTGTTTTCTATATAGCATTTATATTTTCTCACTGTGTGAGCTCAAGTTTCGAGT